GTATATATTTGTGTGTGTGTGTGTGTGTGTGTGTGTGTGTGTGTGTGTGTGTGTGTGTGTGTGTGTGTATATATTTATATATATAATTAACAATTCATAATTCAGAAAATTATAAATTACAACAAACAGTACAACAAACACAATTATAATGTATAAACTTTAAAATGTAATAATAATATGTATATATTACAGTAATAAAAACTCGATTTTTGTTAATTGTTATAAAAGTCTCTATATAAATATTGTTTTTATTTATATAAATAAACAGTAAATATCACATATGATATGCCAAAAATAATAATAATTATAATTAACAATTCATATTCTCCCTCTCTCTCAGCGTCTCGCTCTCTCTCAGTCTCTCTCTCTCTCTCCCTCTCTCAGTGTCTCTCTCTCAGTCTCTCTCTCTCAGTCTCTCTCTGTCTCTCAGGAACACGGTGTTCCCTCAGTAGCATCTCTGTTGTAACTGGAGCTCTCTGTGTTGAAGGCTGAGGAACGCAGTCAAACTCGTGACGGAGCTGCAGAAAGTGGGTCATGGCCATGGAAACGTGTGGCGACGTCAAACCCGAGTCCAGACCGGATCCCTGAGAGTGTGTGTGTGTGTGTGCGCGAGTGTGTAAGTGAGTGAGTGTGTGTGAGTGTGTGTGTGTGTGTGCGAGTGTGTAAGTGAGTGAGTGTGTGTGTGTTTGTGTGTGAGTGAGTATGTGTGTGTGAGTATATGTGTGTGTGTGTGTGTGTGTGTGTGTGTGTGTTGATCACCTCCAGCGGTTGACACCGCGGTTGGAGGCACCGGCGAACCAGGGGTCCAGGAAGTAAACACAGCGCAGCGTATCGGAGCCCCTGGCGGCCTCCAGCAGAGCCGGGTTATCATGCAGACGCAGACCCTTCCGGAACCAGTGGATGGAGTTAATGGACATGATGCAGATCACAAGCAGAAGCTGAACCTATAGACAGAGCTTTATTAACATTCCATTCATTTACATCATTAAAATCAATTATTATAACACATTAACAAGTCTTCATGTATTATTCATTTAATGTGCTGAGAATAATTATTGATCATAATAATAAAATGTAAATATTATTAATAAAATACTGTTTTCATAATTAGATACTACTTTAAATAATAATAAAAAAATATATTTAATTGTTGTGTTGCTAAAATATTTTCATGTATTATTAGATATATTTAGATTATATTTTTATATAATATGAAATAATTCTTAAAAATGCAAAAGCATTTACTGTTTATGTAACAAAATGACGCAATAAAAAGCAGTTCATTGGTTGTTCATTTATTAACATTTAATTAATTATAATTAAAATCAAGTATTATCATTAATATCAAATTAAACCATATAAAATTTTAAGCAATATTACATTAACGTGTTAATAAAAATGCTGATAAAACTTATATATATATATATATAATAAAAATATATTAAGAATCTAACATTAACTAAAGCATACATACATACATACATACATTTATGCTTATTATAATATTTTATATATTATTACACTTTAGATGTTTTAAATTATATTAATATGATATAAAATAACAAAGTATTTGACGTTTATTTACTTTCTATGTAGCAAAATGACACGGAATATAAACCAACACATAAAATATTATTTTTAATTAAAGATAAAAGCCCTTGCATACATGATCAACATAAACTTAGAGTTTTACACATAATTTTGCATATTTAATAACGTGACCCTCAATCCTAAAACTGGGTCATTACAGTCAGCGTCGCTTACGTCACAAAACGCCATAGAAACCTGATAAACAAACAAAAGGCGCTCTTATATTTCGAGTTTGAACCAAATAGTGCGATTTTTAATAAATGCGTCACGGGTTCGCTTTTTATGTAACTTCTTTGTCTGTTTATATTGCATAAATATATGAAATAAGCCGCGAGTTTGAGAAGCGGCACTCACCTGAGGCGTTACTGATGCGGGCAAATGAGTTTATGTTATAAAATCATCTCAGAGTTTATGAAGATGTGCCAGCAGAACCGCTGCAGACCCGCTCAGTCCACCAAAGTCCACTTACATAAAACCGGGCTAAATCAGAGCAGGTTTACATAACGCTTCAGCGCACTGCGCATGCGCCGACACCCTGAGCACAGACACGAACACACTAGATCTACATTTGTAACGTTTTAGAGGTCGTAGAGATAGATTTGCGGCTGTAGATCTCTATTGGGTTTACGTTAAGTCTCTATAAACAAAAATACATACAATATACATATGAAAAGACTAAGATAATCACTTTACGTGGAGCGTTTAAAGCGATCTATAGTTGCAGCTATGCTGCCTGCGAGCCGCCGTGATACGTCACGCAGCTCGTGCCCCACATATGGAGGCCGCTCATTGGTCCGCGCCGAGGTGACGTCAAAATATCCCTCTCACGTTTATGCGGCGTGGATGAAAAGAGCTTTGCGAGTCATTCTGAAGGGTTTTGAACAATAAATGCCGTTTAGCGTGATTTTAAGACGCGATCCCGCCGTTCGTTTGTTATTTATGCTCGTTAGTAATGCTGTAATAGTCGGGTTTCCCGAAGACACCTTACCCCGCCTTATAAGCTCATCCGCCGTCTGATTGGTCGCATCCTCAGACACCCGGATGATCACAAGCGCGACTCTATAGAGCGCCATTTTGGCTCTGAGGGCGCGGTTTCAGTACGGCACAGTAGAAGAGCTTAGAAGAGCTGGAAACTGTGCGAATGATGCCTTCAGTGCTAATGAGAAACGGAAAACGATCTTATTTACGATGTAATTTTACACGATAAATAAAGTAAACATGGGTTCTTTCATACGTTGACATATATATTACATTATAGGATAATATTTTCGACTTTTTTTCTAACTTATGAAAGTTACTACACAAAGTGTATAATTATTAAAAACGTGTAATAATAGTGGATATATTTTTTTCCGACAATTATTTTCTGTACTGTGTATAGAAATTTGCTGTGCTTTATGTTTTTACTGTAATATTTTGCTGCTGCTACGCTATAAATCCCATAGTTGCTCTACTTTAGAGTATATATGTGTGTGTGTGTGTATATATATATATATATTATAGATCAGTGGTTACATCCTATTATTTAGTGTCAAATTGGCTCTTCTTGAATGTTTGTTGCTGTTTAGATTTTAACCCTAAAACAATCGTTCCTTTATTTTTAAACAATTTTAAAGCATAAACTGAGTGAAGACTGCGTTAATTAGAGCGGTTCGGTGTGTTTTGTTCAGGCGCTCGCCGGGGCGCTTTGTTTTGGGGTCCTTCCTCGCAGCTCCGCGGCAGTCTCGCAGCAGTCGCTCGTCGGGAGCGTTTTAATATTTGCCGTTTTTGCGGATTTTTCATTCATATCTTGATCTCCCTGCTGACTGGTCGTCGGGTTTGTGTTTGTGCCGCAGCAGAGATGAATCTGGAGTTGCTCGGTGAGATCTGCGGGTTGTTAGCTCGGCGCTAGCCGCTGCTAGCCGTCTGTGATGTTTATAAACATTCAGTGGAAACTTACTGATTATTGTTTAACGGAGTATTTATGAGGAGCTTTCTCTTTCAGTGCTCGTTTAACGATGTATTTTATTATATGTATACAGCTTTCGGTTCTCTGATAGGAACTGACAGGTTAATTCATATTCATAATTATATTAATACAGATTGTGTGAATTAATTTTCTGTCGTTGTTGCTGTAAAATAACGCTGTAATTTATCAAAATACATTTTCTATCTTGCAGAGTCGTTCGGGCAGAATTATCCAGAGGTACAGCAACAACATATATAGTGTATTTGTCATTATAAAGTATATGTGTGTGTGTGCTTTTATAATTATATGTGTAATGTGTATATTTAAATTAATTAAAAATGTATTTACATATTTATACATGTACATAGTTTATAATCTCTGTATATCATTTATTATATATATATTATTTCTTTTGTTTTTATAATTATATTACATACAATGTATACATAATTTATGCAAAACTATATATACATTTAAATATATATTTATATATTTTTATTGTAATTTCTTTGCAAAAAAAATTTAATATATATATATACATTTAAACCTATACATTTAATTATGTATATAGTTTTATATAAAAATTTATATATTTATGTCATGTATGTATATAGATATATATAGTTACAGTTATATATATAATTTCCTTTAAATATATTATTTAATTAGTTTTTATAATTTCAATACATTATACATTTTAAGAAAAAAAAATGCATATACAGTTGTGCTCATAAGTTTACATACCCCCTGTAGAATATGCAAAATGTTAATAATTTTCACAAAATAAGAGGGATCATGAAAATTGCATGTTCTTTTTTTATTTTGTACTGTCTCTAATAAGCTATTTCACATAACAGATGTTAATATGTACTCCACAAGACAAAATAATAGCTGAATTTATCAAAATTACCCCATTCAAAAGTTTACGTATTAAATCTTAATGCTGTGTGTAATTTCCTGGATGATCCTTGTGGTAATTGTTTCTATATGTGTGTGTGTGTGTGTGTGTGTGTGTGTGTGTGTGTGTGTGTGTGCACGGGGGGGGCTCTGGACTGCATCAGTATGGCTCTGACCTGCACGTTTAACCGCTGGGGGACGCTGCTCGCTGTTGGCTGCAATGACGGACGCATCGTCATCTGGGACTTTCTGACGCGAGGAATCGCCAAAATCATCAGCGCACACATACACCCCGTCTGCTCGCTCAGGTACACACACACTCACTCGCACACTCACTCACTCTTACACACACACACACACACACACTCACTCACTCTCACAGACACACACTTCACTCACACAGAGACACACACTTCACTCACACACACACACACTCTCACACACACACACACACACTCTCACTCTCACATAGACGTGTCCCTCACTGAGTGTCTGCTGTGGTTCAGCTGGAGCAGAGATGGACACAAGCTGGTGAGTGCCTCCACGGATAACATCGTGTCTCAGTGGGACGTCCTGACGGGAGACTGCGACCAGCGCTTCCGCTTCCCCTCGCCCATCCTCAAGCTGCAGTACCACCCCAGAGACATGTGAGTATCCTCACTTCCTGTGCCACGCGCATGACTTCCTGTGAGTGAGCAAGAGTGTGACTCTGTGTTTCAGGGACAAGGTTCTGGTGTGTCCCATGAAGTCTGCGCCGGTCCTGCTCACGCTGTCCGACGCCAAACACGTTGTGCTTCCGGTGGACGACGACTCCGACCTGAACGTGGTGGCGGCATTCGACCGGCGCGGAGACTACATCTACACCGGCAACGCTAAGGGGAAGGTCAGAGGTCACACATGTGAGTGTGAGTGTGAGTGTGTGAGACTGAGATGTCCATCTAACGTGTCGGTCTGTCCAGATTCTGGTGCTGAACACAAACAAGCAGGACCTCGTGGCGTCGTTCAGAGTGACCACAGGGACCAGCAACACCACCGCCATCAAATCCATCGAGTTCGCACGCAAGGGCAGGTCAGAGGTCACACCAGCATTCACACGGACGCAATAAAATAATATTAATATACTAACTATAGATTAACTAACAATAAAACATTTAAAATAATATAATATTAATAAACCATGCCAAACTATTTATTTATTTATTTACCACAATAACATAATATAAAATAATAAACTGATGTCAAACTATTAATTTATTTAATTTAATTGTAATATTATTGTCATTTTTATATTGGTGTTATTTTTTATCTTATTATTATATAAGGCTCATAAAAAAATAATACAAAAAATAGTAAATGATGGCAAACTAGTTGTTTATTTTGTTTAATTATATAGTTGTAGTTTTTTTAGTTTTTTTATTTTAAAAGTTATTTTATATTGTTGTTGTTATTTGTATTTTTTATTTGTCTTGTTAATATACTTAAAGATAATATAAAAATAATAATAGTAAACTATAATTATTATTATTTATATCATTAATTATTTAATAATTACTTATTTGTACTGTTATTTTATCTGATAATAACATTTATTATAATTTTTTACTGTTATTGTTATTTTTACAAGTCTCATTAAAATGCAGAAGATATAAAGAAATGATGATAAAACAATGCTGAACTATTTATTTATTTTCATTTATTTTTTTATTTAATTATCAGATCATTATAAATGTTTTAGTTGTATTATGTTTATGTCTCATTAAAATACACAATATAAAAAATAATAATAAATGATGCCAAGCTATTTATTACATTTTTATTATTACTTTAATTATACTGTGATTATAATATTATTATTAATTTTTAATGGTATTGTTGTTTTTGTAAGTTTTATTAATGTACATATCATAATAAAATAAATCATAATAAATGATGATGCCAAACTATTTTATTATTGTTTTATGTCATTTTAATATTAACATTAATGTGTATAAATGATGGCAAACTAAAGAAGCCGTGGTTTAAAAATAGTATTCTTCCACCAAACAATGTAGCTCCTCAGAAACAGTTGTGGTTGTAACAAAGTGGTTGCCGAGCAACAGACAAACGTAAACAAAGGTGTATGTTACTTTGTAGAGTCATTTACAACAGCTTCGAACGCGGCTCAGCCAATCAGAATCAAGCACCGGAACTATCCGCTTTATAATATTCAATTTTATTATTATTTTATGTAATTATAATAATATTTTTAATGTTTGTTATTATTATTTGTATAAGTCTCATTAAAATACTTCAGATAATATAAGAAATAGTAATAAACAATGCAAAACTATTTATTTAATTATAATAAATAAACAATATAATATAAATGTTATTTGTGTAAGTACATAATATAAGTAATAAACAATGACGCAAAACTATTTAATTATAATATTAGTATAAATGTGTAAGGTAATATAAGAAATTGTAATAAATGATGATACCACATTACATATTTTATTTTTAAAATTGTTTTAAATGTTTTAATTATAATATTATTATATTACATAAATCTCATTAAAAGGTTCATTGTTTTGAATAAATAAATAAATTATTATTATGTTTTCAGTACGGATTAATATCAAGATGAGTGTTAGCAGTATTGTGAGTATATGTGCGTCATGTGATCGTCCTCTCGTCCCGCAGCTGTTTCCTCATCAACACAGCGGACCGCATCATCCGCGTCTACGACGGCCGCGAGATCATGACGTGCGGCAGAGACGGAGAACCTGAGCCCATGCAGAAGCTGCAGGACCTGGTCAACAGGTGTGTGTGTGTGTGTGTGTGTGTGTGTGTGTCACAATCATTGTGTGTGTGTGTGTGTGTGTGTGTGTGTGTGTGTATAGTGTGTGTATAGTGTGTGTATAGTGTGTGTCTGTGTGTATAGTGTGTGTGTTTGTGTGTGTATGTGTGTATATTGTGTGTGTGTGTGGGTGTGTGT